TCCAAAATTAAGGCCAATGGAAGGAATAACATGATCGAGAGACTGAAGGACCCAACAGACCAAGGGAAGACAAAGTCAGCCAGTACAGACATGGTAAGAGTAGCCAGATCCTTCTACGCCGACCTCTACAAGTCCAAAGCTACCTTCCCCCCCTAGCCAGCGAACATCAACGCCCGTCATCGCACGATGACCTCCCTAGAGAGAACAATCACCCAACAACAAACAAAGGACCTGGACAAACCAATCACCCTAGGGGAACTGCACACAGCCCTGTCCTAGATGGGAATGACAAAGCTCTAGGAATCGATGGTCTGTCCAAAGAATTCCGGATCCAGTTCTGGCCCACACTGGGAGTTGACCTCCTGAGCTTTATTAATGACAGCAGGGGAAAAAAAGGCTTGGGTCAAGTCCTAAGCACCAGCGTACTCTCACTGTTATATAAGAAGGGCATCAAGGAGGAACTCATGAACTACAGACCAATCTCACTTCTCACAACACCATACAAAATCCTCGCAAAGGCATTAGCAAACAAAATCATAAAACTTACAAACAAATGCTTTCACATCGACCAAGCAGGATTCATTCCGGGTCGATATATTTTGGATAACGTGATGGCTCTAAACGAGGTTGCAAAGAAGATCACAGAAAAACGGATGGAAGTGGCGATCCTATTCTTCGATTTCGAAAAGGCCTACGATCAAGTTAATTGGGACTTCCTGCACAGTTGTATGGATAAGATGGGAGTCGGCCCAAAATTCAGAGAGTGGGTAGAAGTACTTTACGGGGATGCCACGGGCAGGGTGCAGATAAACTGAATACTGTCAAAAACCTACCCCGATATCAAGATCGGTCTGTCAAGGCGACCCACTCGCACCCCAATATTCATGTTCATAATGGAAGCCATTGCATCCTTCCTCCGCAAGGACCCATCCATAGACCGCCTGGCCGAACAAAACCACAACCCCCTCCACGACTTCGTCCTCCCCACCGCACAGATGCTCGCAGATGACCTCACCGTCCTCATCCGCGCCAGCAACTCCGCCTTCCAGGCCCTAGCCCCCGCAATGGAAGCCTGCAGACTCGCCTCAGAAATGGTCGAAAACGGAAGGGTGGTGGCTTGCAGAAGGCACCCGCCCCCAACCTCCAGACCCATCACCCCAATGTGATGGACCACAGGCGACCCAGTACCGGTTAATGGGAGGCCCAAAATTCGGGGGGGTTTGCCGCATCATTACAAACAATGTTGTCGAAACTTTTGCGAACAAACTATGCAGGGTCATAATACAAACATAAAAAAAACGAGCAAGCAAAAAGAAAACATTTTTTTTTTTCAAGAGCACTATAAAACCCTATTCAGAGTAGCTTTCGGAGTTCGTCGAATCTTTCTTCGAGTCTGGTGTTTTTGCCAAAATTTTCGTAACTTGTCCAAATATGGCGAAACTGAATACAGATATACCCTAAAGCATATACATATCAGATGAAAAAAAAAAACGAGAAAAAAGTAAGACTTCGGAGAAATATGGCAGTTTCGGTGAAAAATTCGCTAAAATTCGCCTAATTTTGGGCCTTCCATTAACCGCCCCTCAGGCGACCAAGCGCTCCGATACCTGGCATTATGGTAAATAGAGACGGCATCTGGCGAGGCATGAGAGATACTCTAATCGCCAGAACAATAACCCGTCTAGCCACCTGCAACAAAGCCCAGGCCTCCCTGATAGGGAGAGCCCTGATCATCAACACAACAATTTTCTCCACTCTGTGGTACATGGCCTCCATTTGGTCCCCTCCTGACGACGACATGAAGAAGTTGAAGGCTAGAGCCAGGTGTTACCTGTGGACTGGCGACCCTAGCAGAACCACCTGCATCAACAAGGTGGCTTGGCAAATTGTCACCAGGAAACAACACGAAGGTGGGCTAGTTATTATCGACCCCAAACAAGAAGCGATCACCCTCCAAATGAAATGGATAATCAAAATCCTAACCATACAAGCCCTCCCGTGGACCAAAATGGCGGTAGACAGCATAAGAAACGTGACACCGGTAGCATCCCCTCCGAACATGAGTGGCCTGTTTTGGATCATGGCAAAGGAATGGGCAATCAACTCCGGAAGACCTGCTAGGAATACCGACCCCGGGACCCCCAACCAGCCCCCAACTACGCCCATCCCCTATTGGTCACCAATCCTGAAGGCCTGGCGTCGACTGATGCCAGAAAAGAAAGGGTCCCCGAGCAACAAAGAGGAAGTCCTAAGACAGCCCCTGTTCTGCAATCCCTGGAGTAAATACACAGAGGGCAGACCATGGACTCTTCGGGCCAAAGACCGCAGATGGTTGTCTTGGGTAGAGAGAGGGGTATGGCAGGTCAAACATCTGTGGTCCGAGGACCGACAAGAATGGTTAACCGTACAGGACCTTCGCACATCCTTANGTCAAACATCTGTGGTCCGAGGACCGACAAGAATGGTTAACCGTACAGGACCTTCGCACATCCTTAAAAGGATAACACCTACTGACCACCAACCTATCAGAAATCCTTCAAAGCATTCCCCCCCCATGGACGACCCTCCTCAAAGAATCACACACGTGGAAACCAGGAAACTGGGGACTGCTCATCACACAGACCCCACCAACAAGAGCTTACCGCTTTGTGTCCAAACCGAGCCCAACCAACAACCAGGCCAAGTTCATATCCTACCCCATCATCAAACACAACATTTACGAACTAGAGATTCTGAACAGAACACCACAGAACGAACAAATAGAAACCTACCTTCTCAAGAAGGTTAGGGTCTCTCATAGGAAACCCTGGATCATCTTTCAACCAGAACTCAACATTAAGGAGCTGGAATTCGACCCAAAGGAATGGATATGGGATTTGGGGGCCACCGGGAAATCGAGGATGATAACATAATATGACGTAAAGTTCGGATATAACCTCGGACTACAAACCAGGGACCCAAATCCAAGGCTGACAGAGAAATGGAGAAGCATACTGAATTTAGGCGACACGACCCCCTTCACCATCCCCTGGTCCAAATACCTTCTCGTCAGATCTATCAGAATCCATAGCTTGCAATGGCTAATAGCACATGCAGCCCTTCCCGTCAACCAGTGGCTATACAGTAGAAGGAAACATTTGGACCCTTACAGTTCGGAATGCTGCTCAATGTGCAGCAACAACTCTCCCGAAGACATCCCACACTGCCTCCTGTTCTGCCCAGAAGTTACATGGGTATGGATGAAGGTCCGCGAGCTATGGTCTATCCTGTCCGCTGCCCCGACCCCTGACATCCCCCCCCTCTCTATCCTAATCCTAACTAACATCCCCAATAACATCACAGGCAGCAGGGAAGCATGGTTTACCTTGATCAGGAAGCTGACACTGTGGGTAATATGGAAACGAAGATGTACTCGGACAATCGAGGGTGCAGAGGTGGCCAGGGAAGAAATGTGGTCACTACTGCTGATCACGGAAGAGACGGAAATCAGAAGCAGATGGCGGAGAATAGTCAACTCTATAAGACATAGACCAGAAAGACAAGCAACCAAGAAACAGACCTTCATGAGGAACTGGCTGCTAAGGGGCAAGGTGGCGACAATAGTTGACAACAGGTTGAGGTGGAAGAAATGGTACCAGACACAATCATGAAGGCTATAAGGCCTCCCGCCGGCGCCCTGGCAGAAGGTCAAAGAAGGCCCTGAAGAGGGATCAACAACAAGGCAAACCAGACACTCAATGAACGACAAGGACAAGCAAGCGGACCCCCCCATTGTTCTCGTTTTGCAGGGACTCATTCGACAGACTCTGAAAGAAGCCTGAGAGGAACGAGTGGTCAGGGCAAGCTGACAGTCGATCCTCCTTAGAAGGAGTAATCAATGCTGGTCAGGGTTCCTTCGGCCAGACGGAAGGAAGCGTTGTGTGAGTAAAACGATGTATTCTTATGACTTGTCAGGGGAATAGGAACCGGACTGACGCTCCCCAGAAGGGATATGGAGCCAGGATCATAAGGACCTGTTTAAGAAAAAGAAAAAAAAAAGTAAAAAAGTATGGAACTCTCTCTCTCTCTCTCTCTCTCTCTCTCTCTCTCTCTCTCTCTCTCTCTCTCTCTCTCTCTCTCTGTGTGTGTCTCTCTGATGACGTCAACCGGTGAAAGGCAGAGCCTTGAGCCGGTAATGCACTGCAGATGTCTTGAAGAAGAAGGCCAGCTGGCCGTGGCCAACCTCAAAGACATGGCGCCCGGTGAGTGGACTCCTTCAGTGCAAACTCCGCTATCAGGCCGGGCTCTCCTATATACTACCGGGCCAGCCAGTCCACTGCCCGACCTCCATCCTTGGCCGTGTGATTGGTCTTAGATCTGATGTTCTGCAAGAGAGGCTGTGCCCAACTGCATCACCCAGGCCGAAAAGCAAGTGGCCTGAGTCGCTACTCAGGTCCAGACCCTATCTCCCTGTCTCAGCAACCGGGTCTCGATCATGAACTGGCATGAGTACAAAAATGTGTACACAGGCCCAAACACCTGAGATGGGAAAAATCGTGAAACAGAACACGCCAACAAGACAAACCTGTGCCGGTTCGGACAAAGTCCTGAAAAACACAATCTAGACCAGGACAAAGCGAACTGGCATAAAACAAACACGTACTGAAGCCAACAAAATATGCAGCAACCGAAAACAAAGGCAACTGAGTAAAACTGAACTGGGAACAGACAAAACAGTGACACACCCCCGGATTCGGAACAGACAGAATACTCACATGCCTGTCATGGAACTCACTCACCTAGGTGCCGCATAATGGCTGAGGCCCTCTCAGTTGGCAGGAGGCCAAAAAAACGGCCTAGGTCGCGAGGGCCCTGCCTACCAGATGCCTGGTGTCCGAGACACCACCATGCCACAATGGTCTGTAGCCTGTGCCCATCCTAGGTTTCTAATGTGGGCTCCATTGCACACAATAAAACTTCAGAAAGTGAGAAACATAGGGAAAATGCCCCATTATCCGTACCTCTGCCTGCTGCATGGTTGTACAAGATCGGCAAGAATCTTCTACTGACAAAGACTTCAGAGGCCCCTTGTCCTTAACTTCAGACCGATCAATACCTCTGCACGAGTTGAACAGCTGGTCACCCACCCGCTCACCAAATCTGCCAAAGGGACACAACACAGCAGAAGTCTTTGTAAGCAGTCATTTCCCTCATGGGAGCAGTGTTGCATACCCCGACGGTCGGCGGCTCTTGACTGGTCCGATGCCGACCAGCCGACCGGTTGGCTGGTCGGCACCTACCGGTCGGGGGCCGTCGGCACCTCGCAATTTTTTTTAATTTTTTATATATATATTTTTTGGGTCCAGAACCCCTAATAACCCCACCAACACCCCCATACCCGCCCCCAATACCCCCATACACCCCC